AAAACTAGTCACCCTGTTTACGAGGTGCCTCCTGACGGGAAGACTACCAGAATCTTGGAAGAATGCTAACATCATCTTAATACCTAAGAAAGGGGATGACAGGGACTTGAAGAATTACAGGTCGATCAGCTTGCTCTCCGTAATATACAAGCTATTTACAAAGGTAGTTGCTAACAGAGTTAAGAAAACATTAGAATTCAATCAACCAAAGGAACAAGCAGGATTTCTAACAGGCTACTCAACAATCGACCACATTCATACTATCAATCAGGTAATAGAGAAATGCTGAGAATATATCCAACCACTATACATAGCCTTCGTAGATTACGAGAAGGCGTTTGATTCAGCAGAAATATCAGCAGTCATGCAGACACTGCGGGATCAGGGCGTTGATGAAGTATATATAAACACCCTGGAAAAAATCTACAGAGGATCAACTGCCACCATAGTGCTTCTCAAAGAAAGCAACAGAATACCAATCAAGGAGGGTGTAAGACAGGGGATACAATCTCCCCAATGCTATTTACCGCATGCTTACAGGAGGTTTTCAGAGGCCTAGGATGGGAACAGTTAGGGATAAGAGTTAATGGAGAGTACCTTAGCAACCTGCGATTCGCTGATGCCTTGACGAGTAACTCAGGCCGGGGACGAATTACAATTCATGATTACTGAACTGGACACAAAAAACAGAAAAGTAAGTCTGAAAATTAATATGCAGAAAACTGAAGTAATAAGCAACAATGTCGGCAGAAAACAGCACTTTGTGATACGTGGACAGACACAGGAAGCTGTAAAGGAATATGTCTACTTGGGACAGGTAATAACGGCGGAGCCGAACCACGAGACTGAAGTAACTAGAAGAATAAGAATAGGGTGGAGCACATTTGGCAACCACTTTCAAATCACGACAGGTAGATTGCCACTATCCCTTAAGACGAAGGTATATAACAGCTGTATCTCGCCGGTACTTATCTATGGAACAGAAACCTGGAGACTTACAAAGAGGGTTCAGCTTAAATTGAGGACGACACAGCGAGCAATGGAAATAAAAATGGTAGGTGTAACCTTAAGCAACAAGAAGAGAGCAGAGTGGATTAGGGAGCGAACGGGGGTTAAGGATATCATAGCTGAAATCAAGAAGAGGAAATGGACATGGGCCAGATTTGTAGCGCATAGACAGGATAACCGCTGGTCATTGAGGGTAACTAACTGGATTCCCAGAGAAGGCAAGCAGGTTAGGGGGAGACAGAAGATTAGGTGGGCAGATGAGATTAAGAAGTTTGCGGGTATAAATATGCAGCTAACTGGATTCCCAGGGAAGGCAAGCAGGTTAGGGGGAGACAGAAGATTAGGTGAGCAGATGAGATTAAGAAGTTTGCGGGTATAAATATGCAGCAGCAAGCACAGGACCGAGTTGACTGGCGGAAAATGGGAGAGGCCTTTGTCCTGCAGTGGACGTAGTCAAGCTGATGATGATGATGATGTTGATGATGATGTGAAAGTAACGATTTGAAAGTAGTCAGCGCTTGTGAGTTCTCATTTGCAGAAAGAGAAAAACGCACCGACAGCGAATCAGTTGAAGTTACGGCCGAACTAGTTGATGTTAATTTGCGAAAAGCTAAAATTATCGTAAAAAAATCTGTTACAAAAATAGGCGTAAAATCTGAAAGTTGTCGAGAAAAATACCAATTTAGAGAAAGGGTGAAGATTCCAATTCCACATTTTTCTTCATTTTGAGAAGCATCTGTCGCAATGGCTGCCTTTATTGGTAATGTAACCAGATAATCACTCAGAATATAATTTAAAAGCCGATGCGGCATTAGTTTTGCTTGTTTTGAAAAAAAAAACGTCAAACAATATTGTGATATAGTTGTAGCTATCCCTGATTGAAGATACGTCACTAACGTGGACACTTAATTTGTCAAGACAGCTCTTTATATGTAGAACTTGAGGCGTGTGAAATTTCAGTCTGTATATGCTCTAAAGAACAACTCGGGCTGGGACATAAAAGCTGTTCCGGAACGCCCTACTTGGGATTCATAAAGCTTTAAATATGGTTGTTTCGCCAACCATTTGAAACGTGACTCAAGTCATGGGGTCTAACTTATACAAGACTGTAATCGCTACACACTTAGGAACACTTAAACACAGTCGCAAGGCTTGCCTCTCGAGGATTACAAGAGGGCGAAGTTTCTAAGCCAGAGCCCCAGCGTACATATAAAATCAGGGACTGGCCGAACGTATGCATGCAGCATATTGACAAAAGCGTTTGCCTTTGCACACCAAAGCGACTATGAATAATTTTGCGTAGCAATCCAACCGCCCGAAACACCCTTTGATGCTATGTGTGCCTTCCAAGTGGTCGTATAACACATCAAGGTGTCTTATCTGCTCTACTTGCGGAATATTTTGTTGATGAGTGCAAAGCGAAACATAAATGGGGTCTCTCAAGGGAAATGAAAGTACAGAGTGTTTGCTGACATTTATATGCAGGTGTATTTGATCAGCTACCTTTCTAGAGCTGATAAGTATGACTGTAGTACCTGGTATAGACTGTGAATATTGTCGGCCGTATGCAGGGAAAAAAAAAAGTGATGTCCACCGTATAAACACGTGTTGACATCTTGTTGTAGTGGGATAGAACTCATTAGGACATTAAATAAAACTGGAGAAAAGACTGATCATTGCGGAACGTCTCTTGTTTGCGTTATAGATGAATAAATGTGTTTTGGTAACAACGGATCGTTCTATTTCGCAAGAATTCCACAGTCAATGCCTGAATGTACTTTGGGAAGTTCATGTTGAGCAGCTGGTTATCTAAAACTACATGCTCAACTTTGTCATACGCTATCGCGACGTGCAACGTTACTATTGCGGCATACTTTCTTTCACGCCGAGCTAATTGAATAGGACTCTCAAGATCTATATTGGCCAGCCATATCGAGCACCCTGATATGAAGTAAATCGGAGACGAGTTCAGAATTTTTTTCTCGGTATTAAAATTTAGTATATGAATGTTTAAAACTCGTTCAATCAATTTCACAGCATTTCAGGTTATCGCAATAAGCCTAATGTTGTCCAGTTTATATTCCTACCAGGATTTTTAAGCAAAGGTGTCATCTTAGCTATTTTCCAAGCCGGAGGGAGCCATGCCATTCTCATTGAGTAGTTGATAACATCTAATAAAAACTCTTGAGATTCCTTATTTAACATTTTCGGCATGGCCGACGTGATTTCATCGGGGCCTGGAGCCGCTGATGGAGTGCTATCTACTACCCTTGTTAATTCCGACCTAAAAACTTCTAGAGAATCTTTCACTCGTTCACGGCAGCCACTCATTTCCACGCTCTCTTCTTCTCCCACCAACGTAGCGTGGCTATATGACGTTTTATGACCTAATTAATTCATGGCGACCTAATCATGCGTCACTTTGTTGCACCATTTGCAGCTTCACTGTTCTTGAGATAAGCAGATCAAGATAAGAATGAGCTACTTTCTTTGTGCATATTGTATCTAAATGGCGGCCGAAGTGACGTAAGTGGATACTCCCTCTACAGGAAGTTAGCTCAGCGCCCAAAAAATCGCTGAACTTCGCAAATTGCTTTAGTTGCTGCAGCTTTTGATCAGAACGAGCCATCGACACAGGTATTTCCCGCACGTAAAGAAACACCACGATGGCCGTCGTAAGCGCACACCTCGGTGGCGGCTTTTCGTATGGGCAGAACACGAAGCACGCATGTAACCATGCCTAATTACCATAACTCGTCTCCGCAAAAACAAGAAGACGGCCTTCGCATTTGGCGCATAATTCGTAATTTTCGCAAGTGGCCGGAGAGGTGAGCCCTCAACAAGGAAGCGAGCTGGCGGGATAACCTCCACATCGGCGATCGCCACGCGATCTCACATTAATCGCTGTTGTTGTTCGGACTTATACAGCACGACAGCATTACGTAAAAGAAAAGGTAGGAGGGTTGAAAATACAGGTTTTAGGGCTCCGCAAATGTAGAACTGAGGCGCTCAACGTCGTGAACATCTATTCTCCGTATTACGAGATGGTTGCGATATAAGGTTGCACGTGAAGATTTCGAGGTATTTCATACGGGAAACAGCCGGCGCTAGTCGTGTATACGTGTTCTCCAAGCCACGCCGTCAATCAGGTCACATCAAAACATGATTGGCTGCATGATCCTAGCGCGTATCATTTTACACGGTCAGGTCAAACATTCTAGAAAAATGTGTGTCACGAAGTCGGGAGAGTTCAGTTTGCCTTTGCTCTTGTGTCACACTCATCTGGCTACCATAGAGCATTTTGTGGCATATGAGTGTGTCTACCTGTTTGTGTATGATGTGCGTATGTACGTGTCAGTGTGTATTCGTGTGAAAGTGCGTATGTGTGTGTATGTTTTTACTGGTTCTTGTCAAAGGTATACAGCTAAGGTGCATGGCCGTAGGTCACAGTTATAAGGTTCAACATCATGTCGTTCGGGCAAACAATTTTCGCTGAACCACGGAGTTACTAAAGAATTACTGCTCACCCTTTCATCTTGTTTTTGGATAACTATATGACAAAATCTTTCCGTCAACCCTAACCCCAGAGCAGTGGGAAGGCCCCCTTCGCGATGGCGCCTCCGAGCTCTGTCGGGTGCTCGTTCAGCGAGCCCGGGCTGTCGCGGACATTGTCACAGGTGTCCCGGAATGGGGCCATTCCCGTTTCATTGGCGTTTCAACAAAGAAAATTCATCATCCCCATCATCACAAAGTGAGAGCCATGGCCAGTTACATTTCACTATCAGTCGCTACCGTATCGTTTCATCACAGTGAACTGAATACAACGTGTGGACATTCCGCTCTGTCACTCTCATTGTGTTTTCGAACGCTCCGACATTTAACATTACTACAGGGAAGAAAATAAGAAAAACTTTTCACGCGAAGAATGAACACATCGAACTTGAGGGCTAATCCTTTGAAAAGCTAAACACAGCCACGAAATCCATACGCACCGCAACTTTCTCCCCTTTGTTTCGCCTTGGAAAAGCCGGCTTTCAAGCCTGACAACTTCCGAAAGGGCAATACGTGGATCTCGCCTTGGCGCTTTCTTTTTCACGCCCCTTTCACTACCGGCAGTCGGACGTTTCCAAGGTCGTCCCACCCCTCTCACCAAAGATGCTCTCTCGGTTAAAGACTCTCGGTGTAATAGCAGCGTTCGCTGCGGGGCGTTCAGGTTTTCAGCTTTTTTTCTTTTCCCTCTTATTCGTATACGTCATCGTGAGCGTCTGCCCGCCTATTCGAGCAATGGGAGGGAAGAAAGAGCGCGAGACACTGGAATAGACGAAGCAGTTTTTTCCACGCAACTCGCGACCGACGGCAGGGAACCTCTCCGCATGCCCGAAGCCTGCTGGCCCGGCTTCACTGCATCTCTTCGTAGCTTTCTCTCCCTCGACAACGTTTGACGCCGGGAGCGAGCGCTGCAGTGCAGTGCGTTTGCGAAAGAGCGAACTCCCTTTATTTTTTGTACGTGTGAGCGTGCGTGTGCCGATTCGTTCGTTAAGTCGTCTGTGCGATGATTGGTGTGTGGACGTGAGCCCTTGAGGCCCTATACGGCCCAGCGCGCCACGCTTTTCTCGTGTGACTCGAAGTGATTGTTTCCACCGGTTGTTTGCGTCCCCTCAGAGTGGTCGCAGTGGAAAATTCGAAGACCGCCCGGAACGCCGGCAAGGTAAGCGCAGCGCTTCGGTTCCCCCTATTGGTGCTTCCTGAAGATACCTGCGATTGCAGTTATCTTTAGACTTTAGGACGCATGCCTGTGCTTCACTGGAAGCAACGAAAAATTGCAAGGTGAAGAAAATATCGTCAATTATTTGCGACATTCTATTGGGTAAAGTATACTTGTCTTTTTTTAATGTTTCAAACTCATAATACGGTTATGAGGCACACCATAATTTCGATCACATTGGGTTCGGTAACGGGCATTCATATCTGTGAACACAGGTACTGCATTTCGCCGGAATTGGATATGCCGCCGTCACCAGGAATTGAACTCGGGTCCTTCAGCTCAGCATCAAGAAATCAGCATTGCAAAACTATAGCTAGCAACATAATATGCGTATGAATTCTGTTGTTGTTGTTAAACGTGTGGAAACCTTGACGTGCATCCTTGTACTGCAACCACAAGGTAACACTAAGAACAGACATTTATATTATTATGCCTTGGTTCTGCATTCGCGAAGCCCTGAAACCTGTATTTTAACCTCCCCATTTCTTCTCCTTTCTTTCTTTTTTTTTTCTTTTTTGTGCGATGCTGCCGATCTATATATATACCCAAACATCAGCCATTCAATGAAAGCGAGATCGCGCGCTTATCACCAATCAGGAAATTACTTCGTTAGTTTGCTTCCTCGTAGTAAGTTCATCTCACCGGACACTTACGAAAATTAGATAAAGTGCACGCACGTACGTCCAGGTACTAAGGCCGTCTTACGCAATATATTCTGCTTTCAATGTTTCCTGACCGATTCCTTGCATAGTGAAATCGATGAAACTTGACCACAATAGCTCTTTGAAGGTAATACTGATACGAAGCTCTTTTGTTGATATGCTCTTCAGTTCAGGCAGTGCTTACATCATAATTAGACCAGGGATGCGCTCAAACATTCGCTTGATTGAAATTACACGGTGTCTTGGCAATCGTCAAACAAAATACAACTCGTGGACATTGCTTAGGTATACGTTACCTTGCTGGCCTGCTTATCACTGCTAGTGATATCCGTACTAGAGTTAAGTGCATAAAATAACTAAAAGCTACAAAATGATAACAAAAGAAGCGAGCCATGGAGTCACCGAAAACTCATAGCAAAGCGCCAACCGAAGCAGGATCGATGCGCCAACTTTTTGCCCTCTCGTTTCACTTTCTGTCCTATAGTTTAGGGGGTGCTGCTTTAAGTTAGTCGTACAACAAACATCGTGCACTAAGAATGAAACACCCAATAACAAGCCCGAAGTCATTATCCTGCACTATATCCGCACACTTCCACTCTATATCCAAGACGCTGTCTATGCATCCCTACGACCACGCCAGTAGTCTTAGTATCCCCTTCTTGCTGCTTTCTTTGCTAGCTATTACTTACCACTTTCTTGTCTCCGCCTACCAGAGAAACTTTGTTTTATTTGAATCGCATAAATAACTATTTGATAGGGTGCCACGCGTTTGTACTTCTTAACACGTGACTACTTTGTGTACGGCTACATGTGCTTTCTCTTCAGTGCTGAGAAAAGTTGTCACCGAATATAGTCAGGTGACGCTATGCGTGACTGCCGCCAATGCACAATTCAGTCTTCATCTTACATAAGCGGTCTCGCCAATGTTGATGTCTGGCCAAAATGTATTACCTTAACAGAAATTCATGTTTGTGTCTGTCATTTCAGATGTAAAAAATTGGGCGCCTTGGTAAATTTTGTCTGGGATTCTGGCACCGCTACTAACCATATTCAAAGCAGTAACGACGAACATTTAACTCATAATATGCACAGTACGAACCGGTGGCAAACAGTGTGATTTGCGCAATTTTCGTGGGTACCCATTTATGACGTACCGTAACGAAGACATTACAAGCCTAGATTATGACGAACGACCCGACACTCCGACAAGACGAGACCTTAAGGTATTTCGCCCCTAAAAATGAAAATACGGTGACGAAGTTAGATACAGCCTGAACGTGACATACGGAAATAGAGCCATGATATCATCTCTGCTTCACGAACCAACTACACAAGGCGCGGTTATACAAATTACACAAGACGTCACAAAACGATAAGGGCCTTTTTATTACCTGTGGGTGCTATAACTTGAGATGATCTGTGGCCTGCTGCGGGAACACGATCGTGTTTTGTTCAGTTCCAGACTGTGGCACTTAGATTAGTGCAAAGCTCAAGTATGCTCGTTTACTTAAATGTAGTTGCACGTGAACCCACATCTATCAAAAGTAAAGTACGGTACCTGTCAAAACATTCCATGAAGAGCGTGAACGTTAAACACGACAATAATGACAATTGTTGAAGTTTTGCGTTCCAGAACCACAGCGTGATAATGTCATATATATATACGTTGGCAAGGGGGTGCTCTACTACAGATCCATGCCCATGCTTGAAAATGTTTTTTTTAATAAACTGTGCGAATGACGTGCAGTGAGAGGAGGGTCCTTAAAACTTGTAATATTGCATGGCAGCACCACAAACCGCACCAGGCACAGAAGCATGTTAACTGCGACAGGAGTTGTTGGTTTGAAAAGCCCACGATTGGTCGCGCATCTCCGTGCTTAGCAGCAAATGTCATCGAAAGACAATAGCCTTTCCCTGGCCAATCGGCCAATTGTGTTCTGCCTTGCTTCAGACAGCGCCTCCTTTATGTTGAATCAGCCGCATCTGGGTGGCAATGATAAAATAGAGGAGGCGCTGCGTGAGATATGGACGCCATCTGGCAGTGCCATAGGAAAACATGAGCTTGTACAGATCCCAGTGCCCGTGCCTGGTGGCAGCACCATGTCGTCGGCAGGGTGATTTTTCGTGCATAGCGGCTCAATTTCAGCGCTGTCTAAGAAACACTTTAGAATTACGTATCTTTGTACATTCTAGTAAAGAAACACACCACCTAATACTCCCGTACTGATGTTGTACCTCAGATATGCATAATATTTGCTTTTTGATCGACATTTTTCACAAGTATATGAACGCAACGACTAGTTCAAGATGGCTGGGTGTTCAGCAAGTGCTTAAACTTAGGTCGGATGACCGAATCGTACGCAGACAGATAGAAAGACAGACAGACCAATATTTCTGTCTTCATGTATCCTAAGAAAGACCATATCACCTTTAAAAGTGGACTAACATAAGTAAACATCAATATATAGGTTATAGCATCCTCAAAGTACACAGCTGCCCAAGGGCGCGCGTTGCCTTGCGGACGTATAGTGGTATAGCTCACCAATGCACAAGGTAGGAATACTTGACACATCGCAAACACATTTCCCTTTAGGCATTCTGGGATAGTTCGAAACGGCCAGGTTCACGCGCACAGGCATTCCTTTGCTCACGGCATGGTTTATCCACCACGGTGGTCTAGTGGCTATGCACATTTTCAGTTTTCCGACAGCGAGCCGCCATATTGAAATGCGTGCCGTCTAACGTGTAAGTTTGGCAAACTCGCCATCTAGGGCTGCGCGTACTCGAATTGGCACGTTATCCGTTGGTGTTATATCTCTGCTACAGTCTGTGTTCACTCATTTTTTCGTTTGCTTAACTGTTTTGTGTGATATTGTCACTGCCAATGTCCGATCCGTCACAGTCTGAACCGCTCAGCGGTGCGCCTTCGCTCTAGTGCCGCAGGAATGAGCTCCGCGTCTGGCAATGACGGTGCTTCGTCGTCCGTATTAGCAGCAGCAAGCGCAGTACCTTCAGAAACTTGCGCACGGACGTAATCACACTTGTCTATAGCAGCGGGATGCGCAGCTCGGGACGCTGTTGCCCGCAGCTGCTATAGCTACAAAATTCCGATCATGCTTGAATCATTGAAAAAGAGTGCATATGGTGTGATTATGTTACGCGTTATTTTACCCTCGGTATTTGCATACTCTTTTTAAGAAAATGACAATTAAAGCGGCCGGCTGGGCGCTCTAGACACGTATGACTCCGTCTGTACCTTTTTTCGGTATCCCAGATGCAGCAAAGGAACGTTGTTCTAGTCGGTTTTCTTGTCGCTAAAGAAGTGCCGTGAACAGAGGCGTGACAATGCCGACACGTGGAGGTTCTTTCGATGTACTGACAACGCCCACTGCTTCTGCAATTCAGGCGACGACGGGAAGCGATGCGGCACAGACATATTCCACCTGCACTCGTGGCGTGACTTACTGTGTTGCAGACGCGATTTCATTCAAATCGTTCCTTTTGCGCTAATTGTACGTGCACCCACTCACGACACAGTGATGGCCAGATTAGATGGTGTGTTCTTCGAATACGCACAATGTCCTGCCACTGCGGTCCCTTTTTATTGGAGAGAGGTCCTTATTACACATACAACATTTAAGCACACTATGTGTAAAGGTACGAGGCGCAGCCCAAGGTAAGATGGCAACACTAAGAAAATAGCCTCGACCTTTTTTTTCTTTTATGTGTGTTTTGTTTTTCGGTTTTACTTTGTGCCAGATCTGAATTTTCTGTTAGATTGCCATTACAAAGGGCAATGCAACAACGATCATCATCATCAACAACCATTCAGCTAAGGTACAGTGTACCTCGGGGATTCGGAGTGCCCATGGGAAAAGGTGTAGAGGCACTCGGCTGTTGACGCGCCGGTCGCGGAATTTTATCTCAGCCGTGGTGGCCGCATTTTTGATGGAGACGAAAATGGTGGTGGTAAACCAAATACGCAGTGGGGCTCAAACCCGGGTCTACTGGGGAAGACGAAAATGCTCGAATCCCATGTGCTTAGATTTAGGTGCACCTTAAAGAACACAAGATGGTCGAAATTTATGGGGTGCTATGGCATCTCCTCCAATTATATGATGGTTTGGAGACGTTAAACACCAAAAATTATTATTATTACGGCACGGTAGAGGCGTCTGAACGATCTCAGTGACGTCATTGAAGAGGCCATGCGAACTGGGTATGCTGCCTCGTTCTATATACTTTTAAAGGCGAAGCCCAAGCGCCATCCTACAATTTTTT